TATAAAATGTTATATTATTAAACCAAAAATAAATTAGTTTGTTATTAAACTTAAATTAAATTATAATAAAAAAATTAAAGAAATTACATAAAAAAAGAGAACTTTTAAATACTTAATTTGGTATTAACATTGATATATATTTTTTCAAATTTTTATGATATCTTCAAGTTTACATTTTATTCAAAAATAAAATCATTATTGCTTTCTTAAAAATACATAAAATCGTATTATAACATCGACAGAGACAAATAATAAAATAGAACATTAAAATCGAAATATATCTCGCTGAATTACACGAATACTCTTTTAGTTAATTATAATCGATTGGTCCATGATAATAAGAAAAATACACCTATCAAAATGGTATTAAAAAAAAAGTATATAAATGCGGGTCGGATCCATTGACCTAAGAAGTAGGAATGGCGTTGGCATGGCACCTACCACTTACTAGGCGCACTTTAGAACTACCCAGTCACCAGTCAGTTTACTATCTCGTTTCTTATTAGCTGTCACTACCAACTACCACCAACAGCCATCCTCCACCGCGGACCACCGACCACCGACCGCCATTCCACACCTCAATTTACAGACATTCGCCTTCAGGAATCCCTGATTTTATCAGCTCCACCTATGGCGACCACCACTACGTCTCCACCTCCATCGTCACCACATGAAGAAGTAGAGAACGACAACCTGCATCAGCTAATCTCCGGTTCACAGCCCCCGGCGGCGTCCGTCACGACACCGCCGTCGCCAATTGAAGAAGTAGACCACCGCCAGCAATTTGCAAACTCAAATTCGCCTTATTCGCCACCACAGACATCCGTCTCCCACCAACCGGAAAACCAGGTCGACCGCCAACAACCACCGCCTGAATACGTTGAAGACCAACGGGAACCTCCGATTCTTCCTTCACCTCCATTAGAAGAAAATGTTACCGAAGGTCGGCAGACTTCGTCACCGCCTTCGCTTTCACTCCATTCACAACCACCATCGCCAACATCAACAGGAGATGAACATCCTCCGGAAAACCTTAACCCTAATCATGAATCTCCAGTTTCAAAGCAATCGCTATCACCATCAACGCCGACAACAAGACCAGAAGATACTGTGCACATCCCTAATTGTAGTCCTAACCAGGAGCATAAATCTCCGTCTCCATCTTCACCGCCACCACGACCAGAAGATCCTATGGAAAGCCCTAATTATGGTAATAACCCTAGCCCTAACCAGGATCATCCACCCCCGACGCAAAATTCGCCGCCACCAGGACCACAAGATCCCGTGGAAAGCCCTAATTATCGTAATAACCATAACCCTAACCCTAGCCAGGATCATGAATCTCCGTCTCCATCTTCGCCGCCACGTCGATCTCCATCTCAATCACCATCAGCAACAACACTCCAAGCAAGCCCTAAAGCAGATGAATCACCTAAAGACCCATATTCATCGCCACCACCAACCGCCGATTCGCCATCGTCACCCCAGGATACCCTAGAACCCAACACTGACCTAATTCCACTACCTGCACCACCAGTAGGAGTACCATTCCTCCTCCACACCGTGGCCAGCTCTTCACCAAGTAAACCACAAGCCTCACCCTGGACCCACCCCGAAACTGCGAACCTGATCCAAGCTTACCAAGAAAAATGGTACTCTGTAAAGAAGGGACCCCTCAAGGCCAGCCAGTGGGAAGAAGTAGCTATCACGGTGGCTGTACGCTGTGGCTACGATGAGCCCACCAAAACAGCCAAACAATGCCGCCACAAGATTGAGAAACTGCGTAAGCGTTACCGTTCAGAGAGGGGCAAACCTCGATCCAAAGCCACTGTTTGGAATTTCTTCAAACTCATGGACAACCTGCAAAAAGGGCCTCTGCCGATTTCATCATCACAGCCTATGGAATTGGTCGAATACAAGAACCCAAGCAGTTCGAATGGCAAAAAGAGGAAGAACGATGACAATGATGGTGAGTTTCTTGTAAACATGAGAAACAACAGATCTAAGAGCTCTAATCATCATATTACCAATGGTGATTTAACTGGAAATCTCCGGTTTTCAGATGGTGGAAGCGAGAGGGTTATGCGAGGCTTGAGGACTCCAGTGGTTCACAAACATAAAGGGTTTTATCAGGAAGATAATGGGGAGGAGGAGGAGGAAGAAGAAGAAGTAGAAGAGGGCAGTGATGATGGTGAAGATGAAGAAGGGGTAGCAGTACAATTGGCAGCAGAAATAAAGGGTTTTGCTGAGAGGTTTGTAAAAATGGAGAACAAGAAGATTGAGATGATGAGGGATACAGAAAGGTACAGGATGGAGATGGAGAATAAGAGGATGGAAATGATACTTGAATCAAGGAAGATGCTTTTAGAGATAGTAAACAAAGCTTTCAATAGCAGCTCTCATAAAACACAGAAGAAGCTGTCTGCAAGCTGACAACAATTCAAGATTCAAAAGGTTCAAGCTTTCTTTCCTTGTGTAGTCTACGAACTATTTCTGTTCTGCCCTCTTTTAATAATTAGATTGTAGGTTTAAACAACTTTCAGGTCCTATTACTGTTTACATGTGAAAGCATCATAGATGGGATGGTAGTAGAGGAAAAAAGTACAAATAAGTATAACATTCATGCTTAAATACAATCAAGATTATATATAGAGAGGTGAAAGTCCAGTTGTAAACCTGTCTTTCGTTGTGAACCGGTGGACAAAGGAAACGTGACACGTGTCCCTAGTCATATTCATCATGAATAGTGAACGTGGTATTTTTACACCATTTATGATAGGACGTGTGGCATGTTCTCTTTTATCCCATGGTTTACAACAACATAGATTTGCATTTGAACCTGTCCCTGTATATATGTTAGATGCCTTCAAAGATCATGCTGGTCTTCCTTCTTTTAGATCAGTGTTGCATCCTGCAAAAAGTTGGTCTAAAGCTTCAAGATCATGGGCCTTTGAAAAGAAATCAAGAATATTCTAGAAGACTCTTTGTCCTTGTAGGAATTACTTCTATGTATCTTTTCTTTCTTTGTAAATATGTAGGTATAATGTCCTTAAATTTGTACATAAGGATTATAAATAGATGTTAGCCCCTCATTTGTAAGACATCCAGGTGAGTTAAAGAGTAATAGAAGTATCGAGTTTTCTCCGCTCTCTCCTTTGTGTTCTTGTTTGTTCTGCTTGCGAGCTTGTAAAAACAGCTTTGTGACGATTTACTTTCATTCGAAGTCGAACCGGATTTCTAAGATCCTTTTGGATGATGTCTTTTGTAATCTTCTAACGGGCGTTTGGTTTGATGAAATGGTTTTGAGGGATTTGGATTTTGTGGAAGGATTTGAAATCTTTGGTGGGTTTGTTTTGTAGGATTTGGAAGAGAATTGAATTCCATTATTTATGAAAATTTAATAATTTTTTATAAATAATTAAATTATATTTTTATTAATTGATTACTACAAAACGGGACCTTAATGTTGAAGAGAGAAATGTATTGCTTTAATTGTTTCCATCAATAAGGTCTGATGTCGTGTAATTTTAATGAATTTTTTTAGTGTGTGTTGGGCTGATGAATTTATAAAATATTTTAACAATATAAATAATGTTAAACTGCTAAAATAGAGTAATTGTTGAACTTGAATGTAATTTGTTTTAAAAGTTTTTGTTTTTCAATACTGTAGTTTTAAAAAAATGGATCGTAATGTTTTATGAAACCGACTCATATCCTCACATCTATTATGTTATCGTCATTTTTCTGTTATACGATCATCTTGGAAAAATGAATCGCAATGTCCTACAGCAAAATGATCGGAATTAGATTTGAACTTGAGATCTTGTTGTAGAAAGAAATCTTAGATAAATTTCTGATAGTAACATGTTAATCCCAGAAAACTACGAACTTGCGAAGGAGTTCTCGGTGCATCTCATTTCTCTATTGTTTCAATCTTAGCAGAATCAACTTTCACTCCAGCTTTAGATATGACATGACCCAGAAATCGAATTTCTATTAACCAAAACTCACATTTGAACAATTTGGCATACAACTTTTCTTTCTTTAAAAGTTCAAGGATTAGACGCAGGTGTTCAACATGCTCTTCTTCAGATTTCGAGTACTCCGTTGCCTCTAAGAGGTGTTTTTCTTCGGACATATAGTGTGTTCCTTATTCTTGCAAGAATGATGGAAACTGTTAGATGATTGAAAGTCCGATCATTCTTTTACTGGTGACATGTCTTATTCCGAGTTATGATATGAACTCAGGGTTGAACATTAAGGATGCGTTTGGTATGCGAATCACGATGGAAGATAAAACATAACAAAACTTGGGTGTCATTTTTTTTGAAGAAAAAATAAACCCTCTTATTGAACACTTATGTTTAACCGGATAATATGTTGGAGCTATAAAACTGTTCTTTTTTCTTTCCAAGATAATAGATTAAAACCTTCTAACGTTCTCTTGTTGAAGGACAAGCAATCCTTATCATTATATATATATTTTGTTTATTTATTGTACGAATTGGGATCACGTGAAACCAACATGTTTTTGTGAGACTACTTTTTTACACTTGAAACTTTACAGCAAAATGTTGTAAATGTAACTTTCACAGTTTTTTTTGCTGTGAAATTTTAAATTTTAAAAAATGGTCTCACGAAAATATGTTGATCTCACATGATCTCATCTTTATTGCACTTCTATTTTTATTAAATTAATCAAATAATTTCTATTGATTCAACATTTAGTAATTTAAAAGTTTAGCATTAATTCACGTGATTTGACCAAAAAAAAAATATTGAATGTAATAATATATATTTTATTTGAAGAATTTTCAAGTATAAAAGAAAGAAATTCAAGTGTGTTCTGGTTGGTGGAGCGACGAAAGAAATTCAAGTGTGTTCTGGTTGGTGGAGCGACTCTCCACGAATTTTTGTAATAATTGGTCGATAAGTAAGATTGAACGTATTAAAAATGGACAACGATATTTTGATTAAATTGGATTGCTGGTTAATGTAATTCACGTAGTGTGGTGTTTTAGAGTAAAAATGGAATTACGTACATTCAAATATTTATTCGTTTACAAAAGCAGACAGTTTTATCGCAACTGTTTTCAGATTTCAACATTACCTTTTACCATCCATAAGTGAGACATGACTCTAGACTTCAATACTTTTTAGAAAAACAAACACTGCCTTGTTGTCCTACATTTGACGCAACAATTAGACTGAGAAATGACACAACTAAATGAGACAAAACTGAAGAAAAATATGAAGATGGGACAAAATAGATAATGTTACTAAATTACCAACGTCAAACTTAAAAGCTTCCACAATTTTTTCATCTTAAAGTCATGGATTTACTTAAAATCTAATTTAAGGTTATATACCTAAAAAACCGTCAAAATTAAAACTTTGCGTAGTTCTCTCACCCGCCTACATCACATTCACCAATCCGGCCAAGTTCCTCTGGTACTATTTATGTACCAAACACGCCCCAGAAGATTTAGGGACCGTTTACCCAAACATTTACCCGGTAAACACTTATCTGTAAGAATCGACATTATCATTTACCTTATCAATATCAAGTAAGATTTTAATCCATAAAAAACGACATAGTATGCAACAATTTACCCATTAAGTGCTAACTGGGTAAAAGTCGTGCTGGCTCACTTGCAGGGTAAGACTCTCGGTCTTCGCTATTGTTCTTACGAGTAAAATTCTCGATCCTTACCATATTCATCCAATAAAATAATGTGACTTGGTAAACTTTAACCGAGTAGACGTTTGGTAAACAGCCCATACTTGCCCATCAAAGTTAAAATTGTAACTAAAAAAGAAAAGGCTAAAACGAACAACACCAAAATAGGTGGAACGAATGTCAAGAAAGAAGAAAATAGATAACACTAAAAAAAATTTGGTTTTATAGGACACATGGAATTCTAAGCGTCTTAATAGAACATAAGTTTATAAGACCAAAATATAAATTGTATATCTAAAGGTGTTATAATAGGTTTATATAACGTTTTTATGTGTTTTAACAAACTTATTAGGACATTTTTAAAATAAGATGTCCAATTAAGTATTTCTATAAGATATTTCTGAGAAATGTCCTGTATACCCATCTTTTTATAGAAGGCTTTTTCAAATAATCTCGTATAAAATATCTAATACGATCCTTTATTCTAAAAACGTCCTAAAACACTCGTTAAAATGCCTAAAAGCATCCTATAAACCTATCACAACACTTTTTACACGAGACGCTTTTTGGTTTGGTCCTATAAACTTTAAGTCCTATAAAGTATTTTATTAGGACGCTTAGACATTTTAGACGTCCTACAAAACTAATTTTCCTATAATGTAAATTACTAAACTACCCATACCAAACTGAAACCTTCCACAATTCTTTTACCCTCTCCTACAAAGCCAAGTTCCTCTGGTTCTGTCCATGCACCAAATACACCCCCCAAAAGGCTTACTTGGCCATCAAAAATTGTCAAAGAAAAGGCTAAAAAGTTGCAAGAACTGCACAGATACTCATTGAAGTGATGCAATGGTGATTTTCAACAACATTGATCTAAGTATACACTACTGGTATTCACAAAATTTCCCCCAATGATAACTACCACTACGACCCCACCTATTACAAAAAAGGGTGTGCTAATACATAGGGCTAATGAATCTAAAGATAAGAAAAATTAAACAAAATGTTTAAAAAAAAGAAAGAAGGGATGGATGGAATTCCTGTACACATACCTCTTTATCCTTCCTCCCTTCCATCTCCTACTCATCATTTTATACAAGAATTAGCCCTACTACTTCACTTCAGTTAACCTATCTTTCAAACACAAATTGCTGCCATCCCCTTTCCATCTTTTGCCCCCATGGAACTGAGCTTCATCTGCAAAAGATTCAATCAAAACCAACAATTACCAGTCTGCCATATCGAAAATGAAGTAATAGTGCCTCCATCAAAACTGTCATAAGCCAGGGGTTTTCACGAAAACAACCTTTCTATACCTAGGGTAGAGGAAAGGTTTGCGTACGGTGGCGGATACCAAAAGTCATGTGATCAGGGGGAAAACTTAAGGGTATTAGAGAAAATCCAATGTTGAATAATCCATCTGAACCAAATGAGGTCTGGGTTAAACGTTTTTGGGTTATTTAGTTCGAGTTATATAGAAATCCTTAATGATATTCCAAAAGAAACGTCAGTCTTAAATATCAAAATCATCCAAAAAAAAACACTAAAATTGCTAAAAGTTTACGACACCAAAAGTAATGAGTAGGTCACCGGGAGCGGTGAGTGAGTCGTCAAGGTCCGGTAAATACAAGAATTGGGGTTTAAAAAGTTGATAAATGGAAGGAGTGTGTCTTTTGACGGGGGGAGGCATGTTAGGAAAAAACTTGGCTATACAGCTTCCCATAGAAGCTTATGGAATAAGCCACTTTCTATATCATTAAGCCGCCACCAAATAATCATGTATAGTTGAACGAATAAGCTGCGAGTCTCGTTAAGCTAATTAAGTTGGTAACAAACAGGCCCTAAGTTAGTAGAACCATAACATCATTCAAGTTCTCGTTTGAAGAAATATGTCTATTTTTGCAGAAGTGGCAAACTCCTCTGTTCTTGAACCGAAAAAGATGGTTTTTAAGACCGAAAGGAATGGTTTTCAAGACCAAAAGAAAGTTACACAAACAAAGGGATGAAAACAAGGCCACTAAATCTCTTCATGTTATATAAAGTTCATTTTCCTAGCTTTAAGGGATAGTGTTTAGCAGAACCCAAAAGTTAGATTAGTACAAGGTTTAAATTTTTACATTGCTATCTTGTTGGAATTCAATTTTGGAACATGCAATTTACTGAATGCAAGTGAATACTTATCACAGATTCTTGTCGCTTTTCAGTACAGGAGTGGAGTTTACTCTACATCAATAAGTATATCTTCATTGTTTGTGTATCGTCAAGGGGAGAAAAAGTAAGGACAGCAACTAACATCTCACAAATTTCTAACTTCTCTTCCCATCTTAATTTCATTATTTGCCCTTTTAGATGTCCAGTTAGATAGAGTCGGCCTTTTAAACTTAGTGATGTACTCCCTCCGTCCCAAAATAAGTTTCCATATTTCTATTTTAGTTTGTCCCAAAATAAATGTCCACTTTCAAAAGTAAGGGGCCGCTTACCTGGTAAGTGCTTACCGCTAAGAGCCAACACTATAATTTACTTTACCGGGTTAGATTGTAGTCCATCAAAAAAGCATCATATGCAACAATTTACCCGCTCAACGCACACCAGGTAAGACTCTCCATCCTTGTCATCACTCTTGCTAAGTAAGATTCTCGACCCTTGTCATGTTCATCCGGTAAGGTAAATGGCCCGATACGCGCTTACCAGGTAAGCGTGTAGTATAAGGCCCCTAAGTGTCTGCTTTCAAATTCTACCCTTCACTAAGACTGCATGCTTTTTTTCACTGTGGATATTCATTTTCCGACAGAGGGAGTACATAATATGACTTAAAATACATCAGACATGCAAAGGATACCTAGAGAATAATAGAGAGCAAGGAGAACATTAGAGGGAAAGCTAAAGCCATTGAAACTGTAACTAGCAGCAAATGAGTAGCAAACATGTGATGTGGTTGCAGAACAATGAAAGGAGAACTAACCTGCAGATTGCTCTTAATGGGAATGGCAGCCCAGCCAAAACGGTCCGGCCCAGAACCACTCAAAGAAACTGTTATAGAGTGCTCTATTCCGGTCTAAAATTAGCAGGCAATCAGGAGGTAGTAGTTATGAAGGGGGCTGCTGCTGCCACTGTACACCCACATCATTCCGAACAGGATTAGGCAAGCTTTCTGATGAAGACTGCCTATGAACCGCAACTTGGTTAACAGCTGGTCCAGAATGTTCACTCTCCATCCCAGTGCCGCTTGTTTGAGGTGGAGACATCCGCATGGAGTTCTTACCAAACTGTGTTCCTGCATTATCTGGCACTGCACCAGAAGAATCGTAAATCATCTCAGATGTCTTCCGATGTGGAGCTGCAGACGAATAAACAAGTTTTTCACTACTATTTGCATCGTTACAAGGTGCATGAGGCATCGGAAGAGTTGTATTCGGCTGAGAGGAGTTGCTCATAGACATAGGTGATTCAGCTTGAGCAGCTTGCAGTTTGCTTGTAGGCTGGTCAGAGGGATTTACTTTCTGATTATGCAATACTTTTGGAGGAACCGTGGCTTGTTTATGATTAGCCGACTTCTGATGTGGCTGAGACCGATGCGGGTGGTGGTTGGATGAAGTGATGACTGATGGTGTACTTGAGGTAACCGTTGATGGTGATGGAGCATGATTTTGGTGGTTGTTATTATCGGCTGAATGAGAAGGCTTCTGCTGCTGAAGTTCCTTTGATGAATATGTCTTCTGCTGGTGTGGTTGATTCATAGAAGAATGAGGTAAAGATTGCTTACCAGAATACAAGCTCCCTTGACCACTTTGCGGCAAATGATGCACGACCTGCTGCTCGCCTTTATCTGCAGTAGATTGACCTCCGGAGAAGCCATTCATTTCTGAGGTATCAGTGGGATGATTCTGATGCATCATCATGGTTCCCCTTCCACCTTTCATAATCTTAGCCTGCTGCTGCTGATGCTGCGCCTGTTGCCGTTGTTGAAACTGCTGCGATTGACGTTGCCGTTGCTGCTGCTTCACCATTTGGGTGGTGCCGCTAGTTTGAGGGTTGCGCACAAGACCATGGGGTGCAGATACAGGATGTTTCTGCGCAAGTTGCGGCATTGGAGTCATCATAGGTGAAATCGACACTGGCGGAGATGAAGATCGTGATTGCATTTGTGTACTATTTTGTGGAGAGGAAACCGGAAGTTGAGACTCTTGTGGTTGTGCATGCAGCATCATGGCATTGGATGTAGAGAATTGTTGCTGCTGTTGTTGCAGTAAACGCTGTTGCTGAAGTTGTCTCTCTTTAACGAGTCGCATTCCATAAGCGGGATTTGGAGGTCCTTGGAAATGATGTGGATGATGGGAATTACTGGTAAGCAGATGCGGTGACTGTTGGGGGGAAATCGGACGTGCTTGCTGCTGGTGATGAAGTGGGTATGCCTGAACAGGTGGTTGGGAAATCTGATTAGGAAATGACGAACTTGTTCCACTGCCAAATGCGGGAACTCCTTGACTGACCCCACCCTGTGATACTTGCTGCATCTGAAGGTCTGCCGCCACAGCTTTTTGATGGTCGGTGTTCTGGTTGGGCTATAGCAATAAATCAGAAGACAATGTTAACAGAAACAAAGTATGCAAGAGCTTATAAATTGCAGAATCTATCAGTAAAGGGCTGTTTGGTTGGTTTTTCATTAACTCATGTATGGATAAATCTATGTGGGATTAATTTGCCTGTGTAGATTGTAAAGGATTTTGTTTGGAAGGGCTTTCCAATAGATGGAAGGAGCATGTCTTTTAATTGGGAGGGGCAGATTTGGAAGAAAAACTTGGCTTTCTGCATAAAGGTCCCCCTTAGAAGCTTAGGGGGTGTTTGGTTGGTTTTTCATCAAGTCGTCTATGGATAAAGTTATTTGTGTGGATTAATCTGTTTGTGCAAATGGGGAAGGTTTTTGTTTGGGAGGGCCTGTTCAAAGATGAAAAGAGCGTGTTTTTTAATTGGGAGGGGAAAGTTTGGAAAAAACTAAATTTCTGCATAAAGCGCCCCCTAAAAGCTCACCGAATAAGCCACTTTCTATATCATTAAGCCACTACCAAACAGTCATATATAGCTGAGCGAATAAGCTGTGAATCCCATTAAGCTCATTAAGCTGCTAACAAACAGGCCCTTACTGAATAAGCCACTTTATATATCATTAAGTCACTACCAAACAGTCACATATATATGACCAAATAAGCTGCAACTCCAATTAAGTTCACTAAGCTGTCAACAAACAAGGTCTAAGTTGTTTAATCAAAAGAAACCTTCCACATTAATATTCTTAGAATTTGCAATGAATCAAACTGCTAAAGAACTCACCCGGATCATATGCATACCATCACGTGGCCTCAACATCGAGTTTCCTTGACCTGGACCATGACCAGCACCAGCCCCCGAGTGCATACTAGCAGGGTTTGGTGTTGCCGAACCAGAAGGTAGGATGTTACCAGAACTCAACATAGATGGCGATGCAATCCCTTGATAATTTGGTCTTGCCATCTTCACGCTTCTATTCATCCCACACATAACACCCATACCATTTCCTGCCGGTAACATGCGTACGCCTCGATCGGTCACTGAATGAGACCCGGGAGGCAAACTGGCCTGCTGTGTGTTCCTCGCAGATAACATTTGATTGTACTGTTGCATTCTTTGCTGTTCATCTACTGATAATGACCCCGTTCTAGGGATCCCATATCTTCCCTCCCTATACAGGGACAACACAAAACATCAGAATCTGATATCTTAATAGTTCAGTCATTTCAAGCTATTTACGGGATTACCTAACAGATGGATTAAGTGGAGCAGATGCAGATGGAAGGTTACTTCCATGAACCGAATTGGACGAACCAGGTGCTGATGAAGTGGAACCAGAACCAGGAAGCATTGGTGGTACAGGACCATGATTCAGAACTGGTAACCCACCACTATGAGGACCTTGATAACCAGCAGGAAGAACATCTGGGCTGGACGAGATTGCTTCGGACAGTTCAAGAGGCCTTAATAGGATATTACACAGAACATGGTATTAGGGATTCATGAAAAAAAAAACTAGCAAAGTAGTACAAACCAGAGAAAATAATGGCAAGAAGCAAATCAGAATAGAACAGATAACTCACGTAAGGACAGGTCCACCATTAAGGTTATTTGGGCAGACTTGAGAAAGAGCAAAGGCATGAGAACTATGAGGCTGCTGCAACTGTTTTGGATCCTGATTATCATTCTTTGCAGAAAAAGGAAAGAAAACAAACAGGTTATATGAGTATCGTATTTGAGTCACAATAAAACTAGAAATCATACATTTGTAAGCGTTATACGTTAGAGATAGTATAATTGTGAAAAGTTTGAACCTTAAACCAACTGAACTATTCATCCTATTCAAAGACAATTGCAAAAACTTCTACAATGCTTTATTTCAGAGTCAGCAAGGGAAATGAAAGCAAACATGCTAGATTTATCAATATGATCTTAAAATGAAACAACATATATGTGGTATCTATATAACGGCATCTTTAGGGTGCATTTGGTACACTTAACAGGACAGAAAGAATAGGGATCACTGTTCCATGTTTGGCAAGACTTGGAACAGGCGTGTTCCACCCTTAGCCCCATGGAAGAGGTTGGAACAAACCTATATTTTACCAACATAACCTAATTCTCTTCTAAAACATCAAATATGCCTCCCTCTTTACATTTTATTCATTCTTTAAATTTTATTTATTGTATTTTATGCTCTTTAAACTTTCACTTTACGTCCTCAATATTATTTTTATACAAAGTTTATATATTTTGATTAATTTATGTAATTTATTAAATAGTAATAATAGAAAAATAATATAGAAAAGGTATAAAATAAAATTGGAAACTACATGAACTATTTACTTTGGTGTCACTTTAATCGTCTTGACGCAAACTTTTTAATGGTATATTTTGTTATAAAAAATATTTATTTTATTCTAACTTAATAAGTTACATAAATAAATGAAAATATATAAGCAACTCATTAGGGGTAAGCTGGTCATTTTAGTTGTTTTGTCCAGTTCTGTCTTACCAATGCCACTAACCACAGCAAATAATAGGGATAGATAGTCACCTGTGTCCTTCTATAATGATGTTTTTGTCCAATCACAATAATTTTCTCGAAATGAGATTTGAGTGTATCCTCTTCCATTGGTCCCTGCAATCGTTGAAATAATTGTCTAGCACTGCCCTGTATGAGATATGTCAACATACGGAAGCAAAGATTTAGCTCAATGACAAGTGGTAATGCATGCAACTTCAAATATGATAATTAGCATGTAAACTACATAAAAGTATAAAAAAATGAATATTACCTCCGGAATGCCAGGTAAAGTAGATGGATAAGGTTGAGACGACCCTGAATCCTCAGCGCTATCAGCTCCATCACCAGTATTCCTATCCATTAAAATTTTGTGGCGTTCTTTGCATTCTCTGGACTTGCGGAAGATGCACTGCACATGTTGCATAGATTAAATCATTCATCTATGACTACATTAGTTAAGTGATGACTGATAAAAAACCGGGATAGTCATAGATAACAATTGGAACATACAAGAAGAGAAAAATATATCCTCCTACTTGAGATGTGTCAATTAACCGATACAACTCTGGATTCCCAATCAAATAAGTATATATATATATATATATATATATATATATATAATTCCAGTAAGAAGGATTGGCGCATTTGTTGTAATAAATCAAGCTCAACAATAAAAAGACAGAAAAAACTTAGCACATGGTAGTTACCTTGAACTGTAAAGTGCTGTTGATGGCATCACTTATAAGCTCCCAGTTTGGACCCATATCATGAACCAGCACAACAAGGGCCTGAGTAGACAAGAGCATTCTCTATGATATCTTACAAACGACACTTATTTCTCAACAAAGTGTATATATAAAGGGGACGGTTCAAATAAGGAATGCAAAAACGGTAAGAACGTACAATAAAAGATTCATAAGTGAATCATTGGTATACAGACACGTGGATTCAGATATGCATCTTCATATGTGAATCATTGTTAAAAAGGTATGTAAGCAAACATGGGTTCACATATGCATCTTCAAACATATGATTCACATATGAATCATTTATTCCTACGTTCCTACCATATTTGTCACTCTTATTTGAACCTCCCTGTATATGTATATATACAAAGGGACAAACGACATTAACCTGATCTTCAAATAATGACCATGGACTTCCTGAACCTGGCTGCCCAACAGGGGTCTGCAGAGATGTTTTATTGATCAATACATTATGCAAGAGGAATCTAGAGAACAATTAGAAGTACGAAAGTAACTCGAGTAGGCCTATCACTTAATAATACCTTAAGTGCTTTGGCTTTCCTGCCACGATCTCGCACAAGTAATTTCATGAACTTATTTGGATTGGACATATTACTCATCTGAGAAGCCACTGGAGAGATAATTGAACCAGCCAAGAGATTAAGATTGTCAAATGAATGTCGAATCATCTTTGACTTTTTTCATGATATGTTTGAACAAAAAAAATCTTCATACGTAATTGGAAAAACCGTATTAAGGAATTAGATAGCTTTTCCAAATCACCAAAGACGCACAAATGAGAAAAGAAAGAGCCATACCACTGCTTCCATTTGATTCAAATTGATGTGTATCCGGTCTCCTTCTTGAGTGATCCTTCTGCACGTCATTCATTAGAGAATCAATGAGGCACCAATATGTCGAATACGACATTGTGACCAGATATGAATGTAATTAATTACTTTTGTGCTTCAGGCAATAGGGTAGAGAGAGAGAGAGTCTAGCAGAATTCTAATAATCATCCAATGTGACAAATAACCCATGAATATGATTTTTAGGTTTAAAGGCATTTTAGATCATCCAGGATGATATATTTTCGAATATAAACTATAGATAAAGCTTATATGCTACAAAAAACTCATTATCACATCCAGACTCGAAAGGCACAATTTTTTCGACACCTCTAGCTCCTTAAATTTTTGTAATATGATATAAAATGACATAAAATTGCTAACATGGTCTCAATCAACTCAATGTAACACCCCTGTCACTTATAACAGGTTATATACACAAACGTGCCCAATATATCCAAACTGGAGGGGCGCCCCCCCCCCCTGGAGGGGGGGGGATGCAGACCTAACCTCTACCCAAAAGAGTATAGTGGCTGTTTCAGTGAAGACCTTATAACAGGCTATATGGCTATAGCAAATCATTACTTTTAATTAACTGAAGAAAATTTACCTGCTCATTCTGAAAATTAGAATCAAGGTGCCACCGATGCTCAAATGTGGATCCCTGCAACACCGTAAGACAAAATTAAAGATCAAAAGGCAAGTCGGAACAACTAAAAGACAAGGACTCTAGTAAATGTCACATACAGGATGTTTTGCTTTCTTTTTCTTTTTAGGTCTATTTGAAACTTCAGTGGAATCAAACTGTAATTGCTTTTCATAGTCTCCCACAGATTCAGCTTCCATATTGTTTGGTATTTGTGATCCACCATGTAGAGTACTTTGCTCATCCTGAAAGGAATTGGTATCGCCACTTGAAGCATCTGTCCTATTTGGTGCCTGTATGCACCCAGAAGTTCCAGCATTGAATGGACTTATTATCCTCTGCCTGGAAGCAGTACGCACACGTTTTGTTGGAATTGAAACATTTAAACTGCTGGCAGATCGTTTCCCACTCAACACAGAGGGTTGAGTTCCAACAGTTCTTTCAGCGGATTGCATGAGTGACAAATCACCTCCCATCTCATGTGATCTTGCACCATAAAATTTGAAGTGTTTTCTCCTCTTCTGAGCATTTTTCGTAGATTTGCTACCTTCAAACACACCTGGGAGATAATATGTGCTTGTTTCTCCCTCATCCTCTTCAAATGCATTATCTTGAGATTTGAAGTCTACATATGGTTAGAATTTCAACTGATATACTTCCCAAACAAGGGTTTGAACAATTAACATGAAGTCTTATAATACCTGCAACAGCATCATAGCCAGATGTATCCACTTCATCTTGCATGCTACTGCCAGTTCTCTATAAACAACAAAAAATATCATTAGTCTACCTAAATCAAAGGGAAAAGCATAGAAGAACAAAGAAAGCTGGGTTTTGGTATCTATAAGTTGGCTAGTAATAAAAAAATGCAACCATTTCTTCAATGATTGATATACTCTGCAGTCCTCAAATTTATTTACACGAAGTTCCCAAAACTTTATACTATCTAAAGTTCTTGGATTCCATAGACGGAGGCACACAGATTCTTTGGAGAAGCGACTTAATTTTAATAACAATATAATTTATTTAACATTTAAAATTAATAAATTCCAAATTCCTTTAGAGGTACTAGACTTCGTTTTAATTACAAGATAGTTTATTTAATATTTTAAGATTATGAATTCTGCGTTTAATGAAGATTTGCACCATGTATCAGACATGTCATCTAATTGCCACCTAAATTGTATGCTATTCTCATATGAATCCAAACCACATGTTAAGGACTTCAGAAAAACCTGTGTCATTTCATCAAAGATTGTGATCTGCTGACTATCTACATGTCCCGAAATACATCCAACTAGAGAGAAAGGGAGGAAAAAGGAGAGATTCCAGACTCCTTTCACCCCATGAAGTGAACAAACCAAGCACATCCCTTTTGTGCCACTTGGAAGGTCACCCTCCCAGGGGGGGATGTACACAAACTTGTCCTCTACCCAAAGAGTAGGAGCGGTTGTTTCCGTGCAGACCCTCGGCATGCGAAGGTGTTTTCAAAAGATTTTGGTGAAGAGCTGAGTGCTTCATAAAATTTGTCAAAAAAGTTGGGATTTTAACCCATAAATATTGCTTTCAGTGTCATCTTTGTCCTAATAACAATTTGACGTGCTTCTGGTCTTTTCGTCCATCTGTCTTATGTTGTAGGCTACATTATGGAAATTTAATCACCAACAAAATTCTGTCAAATTAGAAGTTAAAAATATATATATATATTTCAGATATTCTCCTATTTCATTCCCTAAGAAAATAAAATAATGAAAAAACTAGCAATATGGTTCTTAAGAATTACCATACTAGGTATTAATTGACTGGTATACTCTTGTTTTGTCATTTAATTTAAAGTTTTGGTTATCAACTCCTGCTGTCCCAATTCCAAGTGTGTATCTTCCTTTAGGCCAGCTCACGATTTATGTCTACTTTATTGTAATTGAAATACTGTATTGCAAACCTGCCAGCATTTAAAAAGATTAAAACCCGAGGATGCTAACTAATTTTCATCTAGGTTTCAAGTTCATTCTTATACTACTGGCACAATGGATAGACTGGCAGTACAAAGATTGCCATGAAATGCAAGGGCTGGTGATGGTCCATCAACAGGCACATCTTCAAGTAAGCAAAAGAGATGAAGATTACTTATTTCTTTCTTCTTCAAGACACATATTAGTTTAATAAGTATACACGTCTATGTCAATAACTCCTCAACACATACAAAGCAAAACTGGAAAGGCCTGAAAGGAAGAGAAATTAGCTCAACAATGGTAGCAAAAATAACATACTATCATTCGTTCACATGTTTTTACCTCAAATTGTAGCAAATGAGATTCAATCGCTTTTCTGTAGGCCTCAATTGCACCAGGTGGTACTGTATAAAAGAGATTCTCCTGCATTACATGAAACCAAAGTTTATATAGAACCACTTAAATATATAAGTGCATAGATCGCACGTAAAAATGCAACCATTGTTATCTCCATTAATTAAGATCCTTGAAATATATGGCTTGTGTGTTGGAAGTACCGGAGTGGGTATAGTTTGCCTTTGGTTGTGTCATTGTGTTTGTGTAGCAGTAGTTTTATAGTAAGAAAAAAGACAGCTAAATGTGGTGTAATGGTGGTTCGACTTAATGTGTGAAGATACCAAGTGTTAGTCCATACTTCTGTCAGATTATCCTCCCATGAAAGGTCCATGATGCTATCAGGAGTCGCAGGTGCTTGAGTTGCGTTGTACTGAACTTGAGAGCTATTGTACTCCAAGAACCTCATTGCATATCCCTGAATCCCAATTCTATTATCTCTTTTAAGGCAGCGTGACTCGGTCTCCTTGCATTTCACCTGTCAAATGCAACAATATAAGGTCTGGTCTTTCTTATCATCAACAAGCACATACATTTTCAAGCTAACACGTTGGATCTATCCCTTGACAATGTATAATTACTCGCAGGATAAGAGGAAGCAGCATATTTATGTTTGGTCTTAGCAAATTACTCGTCTGCACCAAAATCAAACTTCATAGCAAGTTTAAAGTGTGTAAATGAAGAACCACAACCCTATCAACTGCCCAGTGCCCAAAGATAATTTCATGACTAATCTATCCTACAAAGTGCTAAGGCGGTCCGTTTTAATCCTATCCAACCAAAGATGAGATACAATTTTATCAATATTAATATATAGAAGGGAAAGAAAATGCAGAGAGAAATTAAAAATCTAAAAATGCACATTTCTGAAGCTTATGAGAGTTACTTATGGAAACTTTTCAAGCAAGTATTTATATCCTGCTTCAAAAGCATTACAGGATAAGCATTGGAAATTGCAAGTCTCTTTTCGGAGTAGGGGTTCAGTAACACAGTATACGGCAGGAATTAATAAACAATTGTGATTGACGATTTCAATGCAACCTTTCAAGAGAATAGCTGCAAATAGTCCTCATGACTTCTCAAAAATAGATCTTTTAGGGTTCAAGGTTATTAAAGTATCTACTAGTTAACTCTAAAGCCGAACACATTGTTGATGTTCTTTCAAATGCACAAGATGTAGACAGTATTGTTATAAAAAAAGGACCAGTCATGATGCATACATGATGATCTAACAGATCCAGATAAGATTGTCTAACAAATAAGTAGTAAACCACTATCACAGACCAGCCTAATTTAACTTGATAAGACATTATTAAGGAACAATAGAAGAATTGCTATTAGAACATATAATGCCCCAGACAGCTAACAGTCCATATCCAGAACATACACAGTGCATGTTTATTACATTCACAGCGATTCAGCGAGCCAAATCGCACAAATGCGATTCATTCGCCTACTATCCTATAGAGCAATTCAACCTCTTAGTAAGACTAGGGCTAGGAAAACTCATTCTATCTGGGGCCAGGTAAAATAACATTTCAAAACTTAGTGAAGGACCTGTATCGTGTGCCAGAACTTCATGACAGCTTCTGCCAAGCGGTGAGCTACTTCCTTCTGCTTCTGCAGTGAACATTGTTGTTGGAACCTTACTTGAGAAGCAAAAGCCACTCTCCGAGAAATTTGAGCAGCTGCGGTTATCTTCCAAAGGCGCTCCTGTTTGTAAGCAAGAAACTGAGAATCATAATGGCTAAACCAAATGGCCACATAATTCAATGAGTTGCAAAAAAAAAAAAAAAGCAAGGATAGAGGAGCTAGCACTTACTAATCAAATAATACATTTTAAAAAGTAAGGAAGAACGATAGATGACTAGGTTGACTTTGATTTTTATCAGCAAAAACAAACCTGCGCAAAATCATTAGCCAACCATGACATTTCCTCAAGGACAAAGTCCCATTGTGATTTTAGACGTCTCTCCGGTGGCAAGGTTCTAACAGATAATTCAGCTATCCTCTTACGTTTTGCCTGTTTACAGTACAACCTCAAATCAGCTATTTAGAACACTTTTATGGGGCAATAATCAAATGCCTTAAGTTCAAAACGCAAGAAATAATGAAACAACCTCTATAATCCGAGCCTCTTCCAAAATTGAGTCTTCACGTTCTTTGGTTGCCAGTTTCAAGTTGTTCTGAGAGCATGCATTTTGCTCTGGAACATCAGTCGGATACCTAACAGACAATGTAGACTCCCGTAAGGAGATGTCATTAGAACCTTGTGGTCTACTACTGCAAGCATTTCCATCTTGGGAAATTGAATTGGGTCCCAAAATAATGGTGGCCTTTCTTTCAGTTTTTGGAGTGGTGCAGCCATCTGAGCCAACTCTTTTAGTAGAGACAGAATGCTTCAACTCATTTTGCAACGCAGATTCAGACACTTTCAGGTCTACCTCTTCCTTAATAGCAGAGTCGTCCCCATTGTGACTTGGATGACACATATCAGAATTAGCTTTATTAATATTCAGTATCTTATCATCCTTGTCTGCAACTAAATCATTACGTTCCACCTCTACTACCTCCTTCTGTACCAAATTTTGTTCCATTGGCCCAGTATATTTACCAATCCTAGCACTAGTAGGTAAACCGTTCCCATTATAGCCATCAAAGCGTTGACTGGTTTGGGTGCATGACGACTCCGAGTCCAAGATTTTTGGGGGAATTGCTACTCCGCTGTTACTATCAGCAGGTATGCTTTCTATCTCTTCCGTACTTCCAAAGCCATTGGTTGGACTAGCAAAAGCTAGGTTTTCAGATATCTGTGTGTCTGCACGGGGAGGACGTACAGAATCTGTCAAATGTACCCGATTCATAACCGCTACAGGTTCAGGTTCAATGGATGCAATAGTGAGTGGAGCTTCCCGACTATTAGATTTTACTGGCTGATCGTCATGAGTCTCTAGAGTGTTTTGTAAAGCATTAGCATCTAAAACAGCAGAATATGGACCATGTGCAGGGCCAAGGGTTGATTGTACAGCCGGCACACCATCTATTTCATTTTCTAGCTGAGTGATAGAATTTCTTTGAGCCACACTAGCATTAGGACTTTTAGGCTTGGAGTTGGAATTCAACAAACAGTTACGATCCTGGTGGTCTGTGTCATGTGTTAATCCTTTGAAATCCCTGGAAGCATGTCGAAAAGGAAGAAAATGACCACCACGAGAAGGAACTGCATCAGTAGAACTTGACCTAGCCCCATCACGATTTGGCCGAGATCTAATTCTACGTTTATATGATTTTTTGGGTAGTTCTAAGACAACAGAATCGCCTGTGGTGATGTGACCAACATCCAACTGGGAGTGATGTTTGGACGGAGCAATGTTGTCTGCATGAGGATGTACAGGTTTCCGTTCAATTTCCTGGAACTTATTGTCACCATCAAATAGCATGAGATTATCAGCACTGTTGGGTTCACAGGCTGAAGGAGCCCCAAGTCTACCGCTACTTTCAACAGAATCTCCACGAGGTGAAGCAGTAATTGCAAAACTACCTTTTGCTTCACTACAGCACCATATGAAAACCAGGATAACAAAGAAAAAGATATCAGCAAAGGTGATATTGACGCTGGATAAATAATGGATGCATTCATTATGCACTAGATACATACCTTGTCACAAACTGCTCAGGATGTCGATCTGCCAGTGAGGTGGACTGGCGGCTAACTGACGCTGCATTCCCAGGTTTCAAGTCCAATGGGTCTCCACCCTGCAAATAGCAAGCAATTGATCACCTATCTATGCTCAAACTGTTTGTAACATAAAGATAATAATAATCCCATCAGCCTACTTTCTGTAGATATTCTAATTCTCTTCTAAATTTCTCAGCCGCGGTGAATGTTTGCCTGCAATGAATATGATCCACTGTTATGTTGAGCTTGATTTGAGAAAAAGATGATGCGATCAAAGCATAAATTTTGCAAGGCACAGAAGTGAACCGCTGTTACCTGAGTTCCGCTTGAGTTTTCTCAAGATCTGATGATTGCTGCAGTGATGGTGTTGAAGAAATTCCAGCTCCACTGTCATCAACTCCTCCCATGGAATCAAGCTCAGCATTGACTACATGCACAGATCCTGAAGTACATCCATGCATACCCACTTTAAGTGCCTACAGGTATATTCCTGCCATTGATCCAAACAAATTACTCAAATATATAAAGACATTACAAGGATACACAAGAAAAATGTTTATAGCACGGACAATAAAATGAATCTTTAAACACATGAAAAGAAAGGGGGCAACATGACGATCTAATAAAAATTATTCATGCTCGACTACAGAAAAACTTAATTTTAAGCATTTCTTTAGAGCAAAGAAGATTAATAAAAAGACTATATTATGATGGCACGCAAGTATCATAATCATGTTCTTCACTAGTAGCAGACATCCAAAATTTTCTAGTATATAACTAGAACTCATCTTTTAATAATCCTACAAGTGACTAAATCTTTGTTATCACGTGATCCTAGCTGCAATGTATGTCATAACCCTTAACTCTGCAGAGCTAACATCAGCATAAATCAAATTCCCGGGTCGATGGATAATGCCAATTTTGTGATGTTTGAACTAAGCCACGAAAGCTTGGTGATGACTGTCAACCACTACTCACCTGGTCCTTTTATACAAACACAACCCATTACAACAAGTCGAGAAATGCATAGGATGCCATTAATCCCACATATGCTTAATCTGTCCTGCCAAGTACTTGATATAAAAACCTACCAATCCTCTCCATGTTTGCAAACTAATCATTTAAAGGAGTGCTTTTTGGTCATACCCACCGGCCTATCAAATTCTCATATGATAAGATTTGGTATGTCCATGGAATAACTTATAAGTACTAGACAATGGTAGTGTGAGATCTTATGGCAATGAATTAGCATTTCAGATTATCAGTGTGTGAGGGATACGTATATATGAGAAAGAGGGATAAACCAAAATTCTTTCATTCCTAATAGTTATGCATGAAGAGAGAATCAGAGGATAGTTGTTATACATGGTATGACATGGACACTTTAGAATTACAAAATATGTCGTAAGGAACACAAAGATTATAAAACTGAACCAACTTGGAAATTATCTACAGTCCAATAATCATTGTTTACCATAATTGTAACATAGTTATCATTCAATTCATGAATCCAATCGACACCATCTGATGGTTAATCCCAACCAATCTAGGAGTTCAAGTTCCGTTAGATGGTCATAGTGCACAAAGAGCAAACCAATTCCATTGGCATCATCTACATTAATAATGGAACTGCATACTCCACCCCATTGCCTAGTACACTCCATGCCCACGTGCAACCACCATTATAAACGTTCGTAAGCGAAAGAAAAATGTCCCAGCAAATAAATATCGTGACAAACAGAGTCTTTTGAGAAATGAAAAACGACCCTAGTTTCAATTACTTCACACTTGGTTAAGTTTCAGGCATGCATTCAATCAAAATGCACCAATACAACGCTGCAATCACTAATTACACATTCAGTGACCTATAATCAACTCTGGTGAACCAAATTCCAATAGTTCCAGTTTTAGGGTTTACAGGACACATAACATTTTGTCCAATTCTAGGGTTTCTGCGAGAAATACCTGAATTGCGAAGAGCACTGCAACAATATCCAGCTTAGAAACCTTTCCCCTCTCCCCTTCGGTTCTTCTTTGATGTAAAATGGATCAATTTCCGAATCAAAAACGAATTTTGCCCTATAAAATATAGGACATAAAAGAATCGACTGAGTGCCCCCCTTTCGATTTTTTTACCCTAATCACTCACAAATTATGCATATACATGATATATATGAATGTTTTTGGTGTGAAGATTTGTGTGTATATAATGTTGTTCGTTCTGGTTCGTCTTCAAGCTCGATTTTCTCTCTCTTAAAGCTTTCTCTCTCTAAGATTTGCAAAAACTATTTCGTCGTCTCTGCGAGTAGTGGGCTGGGCATGCAGACGTCGACGAAGAGGGCTTTTTTGGGAGTATTTGGGCTTTTTGGTTACCTTTTGTTCCTGAAAAGGAGTTTCAAATTTAAATAGTGTTTCTTTTTATTTTATATCAAATATCTATGTTATATTATAAAGTATTTCACAAAAAATTCTTAAAAATTATTTTTTATGCATAAATTACTGTATATTGATGTATATTATTTAAAATTCAATATTACAAATAAATTATGCATAAGTACAACTTATTAAATTTTCATGTTTGAATTCGTGTAACTAACTGCGGATCAAAATAATCAAATAGAGGATAAACATCTTATTTTAAAATATAAAAAATATAATTAGGATAATTATCGAGTTATAACAAAATAATTAATTATTATTTTTATAAGAAAATTATATTATTAAACCAAATATAAATTACTTCGTTGTTGAACCTAAATTAAATTATAATAAAAAATTGAATTAAATAATTACACAAAAAATAGGAATTTTAAATAGTTAATATGATACTAATATCGATATATTTTTGTCAATTTTTTCTGATATCTTCAAATTTATATTTTATTCAAAAACAAAAATTCATCGTTTTTTCAAAATCACATAAGATCATACTATAACATCAACTGAGATAAAAAATAAAATGAAATATTAAAATCAAAATGTATCTCGCTGAATTGTGCGAGTACCCTTCTAGTATTTATAAGGGACTGTTTGGTAGTTGTTGGATAGTTTGGTACAAAATGATAAAATGGTCGGAATGATTAAGAGTCTCTCGTGATATAGTGCAAAATTAAAATATAATTGTATGATAATTATTTAATATGAAATTACGTCGCTGAATGGTTGAGGAAGACCTCATATACAAAATCATTCAAAGTGTTTTAGAATCATTAAGAGATATAATTTTTTTTTTGTCAAACAAGATTCACCTAATAATGATTCAGATGTCACCTCTTAATGGAACTATTAAGAGGTAAACAAACAACCCCTAAATGTACAATATAGCTCGATCCAAATTAAAGTTTGAAGTCGATAACTTGATTTTGTTTTATTTTTATCCTCGGATTTATTCTTACTGTTTCGAAATATCGAAAAAGTTATCAATTGATTATCAGTTTTGTTGGATTATACGTGTTTTCAAATTTGAGAAGAAGAAAAAAGGATGGAAAATAAACAAAAGGAAATAATAATTTTTTTAATTTGTGTTCTTCCTGATACAAGATTCATCAAGGTGCTTGTGGAGTGAGGGCTTTACGGCCCCATAAAGAATACTGTATTCGACCCTGGTATTTGAACAGCTTTGTTTCCCAATAGAGCCTGAATAAGCTCGGGAAAAACATGGGATCTGTTAGGAATTGAACCCAATTGAGTGGGTCGGGACATCTAGCATGAAAGAGCCTTTTCTGGTAGCAGCATTATACCTTAGTCTCTCTCCAACTTCCAATCTATATAAAACATAGTTAGCAGTGGTCGATTCACATGTTACTTTTTGATGCCCCCGCCTCGATGATGCTCCCAGATCGATCGCGCGCAATCTCACCCCGTTATGCCATAGAATAACTGAGCTTCTTGTTGGGCTGGTTATTTAGAGCGAAAATAGATTAATTTTTCTTCGACGGTTTGATTTATGATTTGTCAGTCATGGGCATCATTTTTCATTTCAATTGGAAAATGCAATCAGGTATTTAGGGCAGTATAAGTGATCAAGGAGTAGTAACTCATATAACGGGATGAAACTTTGCACAGTGTTCTATAACTATCAGTTGGCAGCTCCGTGATTTCTTATGGGCACATACATCCTAGATAATCCAGTCTATGATCCCGAGCGAGGGATAAAGTAAAAGAAGGATGTTGTCTTCCTCCAAATGCAAGAGGCCAGGGGCTAGAGTGAGCGGGGGGACAACATTAGTAGGACTTAATGTATGTCTTATATTTGTTTACATCTTAATAGTTTCATTAAAAGACAGTTCTTGAATCGTTAAGAGGTGAATATTGTTTGACAAAGAAAAAATTTGTCTCTTAATGATTTTAAAACCCTCTGAATGATTTTGTATTATGGACCTCCCTTAACCATTCAACACTCTAATTCTATTGTAAACAATTATATTTCATTTTGCACTATATAATGAAAGACTCTTAATCATTTTGCACAAAACCATTCAGCAACTGTCAAACAGTCATAAATGTGCTTATTAGTCAATTATCCATTTGTTTGGAGCATATACAATAGTTTGAACCTCAATTTTAAATTACTATAAAAAGACTGATAAATATTTTACAGTGTATTACATAAGTACATACATATTCATAATCAAACTGTTGTGAACTTCGTTAAAATTTAAAACCAGACATCGGTATTAAATTAAAAAGAATAAATTACTTATGTTTTATATAAATTGTTTAATTATATCTAAAATAGTTTAGATTTTAAGGTAAATCTATGAAGTTTATCAATTGGTTATTAAATATATGTATTCATTACAAATATGAATTTGTGCATAAACTATAATAATTTGTAACCTTAAAATTTAACATACTAATTTGTATTATTAAACAATTAGAATGGTACTCGTGCAATGCATTGAGACATATTTTCATTTCAACATTTCGTTTTATTTTTTATCCATGTCCATATAATACGATTTTATGTGGTTTTGAAAAAAAGATAATGTTTCTATTTTTGAATAAAATATAAATTTGAAAATATCATATAAAATCTGCAAAAAAATATATCAACATAAGTATCAAATTAACTATTTATTTTTATTATAATTTAATTTAACGTAACGAAATTCAGGTTTAATAATATATTTTTTACAAAGATAATAATTAAGTACTCTGTTAGAACTCAATAATTATCCTAATTGTATTTTAAATTTTTTATATTTTAAAATGAGATGTTTATCATCTATTTGATTATGTTTGTCCGTAGTTAGTTACATGAATTCAAACATAGAGCTTTAATAAGTTGTACTTATGCACAATTTACTTGTAATCTTGAATTTTAAATAATATGTATCAATAAACATTACTTTTATGCATAAAAAATGGTTTTTAAGAGTTTTTGTCAAATGTTTTATAATATAGTATAAATATATGTAACTTGAGTGTTAAGTTATTTTTAATAAATTTTACCAAATACTCTTTTGTTTTTATTAATCTGAATATCAAATCTGCTATGCGAGCTGACTAATACAAGGATGACCACCTGCTTTACGGGTAGCCCGAAGTCATCGAATTTGAACCTCCACGGCCGTAATTTTTTTTTATTTCTCTTTGATTTTGAACCTAGAACTTCCAAGCATTTTTTATCTTTGAAGTCCAAACTCAAACCAATCAGACACCATCCTTGTGATCCCAAAAAAACTGAAGATGTAAAAATTGTTATGGCTACACCAACCCTTGCTACATCATAACATATTACACCAATTTAAATTATATATTATTGTTAATAAGTTAAATATGTAAAATTAAAAATTAATGGAAAATATAAGAAACAGTTTAAATTGTTTTATTTACAAAACCAATTTTTTTTATCAACTTGGGATCAGTTGGGACCGGTTTCGAATCGCCGATTAAGGACCGATTACACTTTTTTTTATCAAAAAAGAAGGCCCGGGTCGGACAGGGACCGGTCATACGTGTTTTGTAACTGTTGGAATTGTCATATCACCAAATTTTTTTCCATTTTTGTCCCATTGGCCCTCTATACACAATATATATAAGTCATATAATGTATGAGGGAAGATATCAACTCACAAACGTAAAAAACCATTCACGATTCTCACTATAATTCGTGATTTCAGCTGGTATTCAATTTCCATTTTTAACAAGTTATAATAAAACATGCTTTTTTAAGTGCATTTCAATGACCCAATTACATATTTTAACGCATTATGATAAATTTTTTGTATTCTGTAAAAAAATTAAAAATATATATATATGTAAAAAATCGATATTTTCTTTAAAAAAAGTGGGACCTATTTGGGCCTGGCCAGGACTGGGAGCGGTTCTCGGGACCGGTTACAAAGTACCTTAACCAGGCATTGGGTTCTTGGTCAGGATCGGGACCGATTACAGGAATAATGTTTGGGACCAGGACCGATTTTTGTCCATCTCTATGCCATAGAGTAAAAATAATAAGGGTCGTGAAAAGTGTCCCATAAAGGCTTTGAAAATTCAAGAGAAGGTCATGAACGAGACAAGTTGTTCATCATTACGATAGGTGTATCATGTTATTCTCTGTAATCGTATATATTTTGAAACTACAATAACGACAAAAGTTTCCATTAGTTTGCATGGCTTTTTCTCCTATCCCAAAGTCCTTTTAAGTGATTTTTCTTAGTTTTAAGGCTTTAACGGATTTATTATGTTCCTAAAAAATAATATAAAATTAAAGACGCGAACCTATAATCTCACATACAAAAAGTAAAGAACTAACCAACAGACTAATGATAATTTTGAAAAAAAAAATTATACATTTATTTCTTATAGTCAAATGGTGTCACTACTTACGCATGTTCCCGTGTCATGTTCAATCATACTTGTTTTTATTTACTGTAACAAAAAAACATTCAATTAAGGGAACAAAGTTTAGAAAATATATATTTGATGTAACAAAATTACAAAATATCATATTTTTTGTTCATTTTAACTAGTAACTTGTTGATCTTGTACCATTTAATGATGTAAATGTCAAATTATCCTTTCATTTATAAACAGATATCTCGTTATCAAATATTACAAAATCAACAGTCAATTAATAATAGAAAAAGACTTGAAAGTTTGTTATATCGACCGAGAAAAAAAAGTTATTTGGTACATTAAATAAGAACTAAGAATTTTCTAAAATAAAGCGTCAAAAGTCAAAATCTATTAAAAAAATTGCATCTAACTCAAATAATTACTTTATTTTAGCAATTATAGTATTAACAATATGATGAAAGATTGTGTGAGAATTAGAGTTAAGGTGAAAAGTGTAAGAAGAGATTTGGACATTTGATCACTTTTATCATTGCGTTTTAGAAGGGGTTTGTTATGGTGCTTCTCATTAGTTTTGATCTAGTTGAACTCTTCAATTAGGATTAATCTAAGGATGAACATCTATTCTTACCATTCTCATCCTCACTAAACCAACCATTAACTATATTATTAAGATATTTAATACCTTTAGGGGCCATTTACCAAATGCTTACTTGGGTAAGCGCTTACCAAGTTACATTGCCTTATCGGATAAACATGGAAAAAACCATGAATTTTACCCGATAAGAGCGAGACAAGTACCTAGAGTCTTACCCCGGTAAGTGAGGGCAAAGACTCTTACCACGGTCAGCTCCTACCGGGTAATTTATTGCATAAAAACCATTTTTTGTTGACTAAAATCTTACTCGATAAGTAAATGATAGTATTGAATTTTACCGCTAGATACTTACCAGATAAGTGTTTGGTAAACGGTCCCTTAGTAAAATATTATTTATTTTCATTAAGCATTTATTTTCTATCTCGTATTGGTGGAAAAAAATTAAATACTTTTTCTTTCTCTTATATAAATTTTTAAAGATTTCTCTAAATTTAAAGTATCTCCAACAAATTTTCTAAAATAAAAATTTTGGGGATTTTTACTACAACAAATTCTGCACAATCCAAAATGAAGAAAGTAGGTAGGGTGAAATTCTCTAATATTCAGAGAACTCTTCAAAAAATGATCACCTATAAATAAAATTGTTAATTAGTTTTTATACCAATGATAATCCTTGAAATTAAATTTTATAGGATAAAGAAATAATATTTAGTAAAAGATATCGAATATTTTAATAATATAATATCATAATTCATATTATAGTCTTCAAAATGGAAAAGCTGTTGGAGATGAATATAGATTTCCTGTAGAGATTTTGACTTTTGATTCTCCGTTTTGGAGAATCTACACGAGATGCTCTTAGATCCCGTTTACCTAACACTTACTCAGATAAGTGAACACCAAGTCACATTACCTTACCACATGAATATGATAAGGATCAAGAATCTTGCCCAGAATAAGAGCGAGATAAAGGACAAGTAATTGGCTATCTATTTCTAGAGTTGCAAAACTTTGGTCCAGAGGGAATATATAACAGTATCATATACATACATACATACATACATACACCACAACAAAAGATTACCATATGATTGATGCTATGAAGTTTTCTAAGATCTAAAGTGCAGTTTATATGTGGTTGAACTCATCTCAAATAGCTTCTTCCTCTACAAAGAATTTAAGGGAATAAATCAAAGCATTTATCTGCAAAATTGTAACAAACTTCATCAACACATACCAAAATTAAGGAATATTATGATGAAGGTGAGATGTAAATATGTGACTTTAACATGAAAGCTTTCCATTAAAGGAAATGTTTGGTAATTCTTTCGTCCCAAAATAAGTGTTCACATTTCTATTTTAATTTGTCTCAGAATAAGTGTCCAGTTAAAAAAACGTATTATGAGATGGACATATTGACTACTCCCTCTATTATCAAGGGTAAATTGTCATTTAGTCAACTAAAAGTGTAATAACTACATATTTCAGGGACTTTATGTCTTTCATTATGGACACGTAAAGAATGTTTATTAGCAGCTTAATGGGACTCGCAACTTATTAGGTTATCTATACATGACCGTTTGGTAGTGGCTTAATGATATAAAAAGTAGATTATTCAATCAGTTTTTGAGCGGAACTTTATGCAGACAGCTAAGTTTTTTCCAAACCTGTCCAATCCGGATTAAAAAAACACACTTTGTCCATATATGAAAAACCCCTTTCCAAACAAAAATCCTCCCAATCTATATAGACAAATTAATCCATGGAAGACAACTCTAACCATTGACAACCAAACAGTCCCTTATTTTGAGGTTGGTGGTGGTGGGG